TAATAGCGCAGCTCCGTTTTCACCGAAGATCCGGAATAATTGATGTAAACAAATCACCACATCCAAATGGGCAGATGAATGTTGTTTATCGTAATAGTCCGACTCGCTCGGGAAAATCTGGTTCTTCAAGAAGTCGACCACCGACAACCGATTTGCATAGTAGTGGCATTAAACAAGACTCTGACAATGAACGTGACAATGGGTCGACTAATAGAACCCGCACAACTCAGGATCCAGCACCGTTCAAGGCTAGTAATCATAATCCAGTTTCGAAAGTTGTAAAAAGTGGTGCTGATGAGACTGTTATTACTTCATCAGATACGGGTTTTCATAAAATATATAGAATAATTGATGAAAACAAAGCATCACCGGTGAATCAGCAAGGAAACATCGCTGGTCGTCTAGGTGAAGTTCAATTGCAAGTACGTTTTTGTTTTAACGATCAGTCAGCATCGATGGAGTTGCACAATGCAGGTGTTGGAAAAGGCGTGTTTGGGAGAGATGAAGATCAAGCTTCGGAGAAAGTGGAGGATACATCCATGGAGGCGGTTGAGAGAGATGAAGACCCGGCTTCGGCGAATGATGGTAATGCATCCAGGGAGGAGGTTAACAGAGATGTTGACGAAGCGTCGGAGAAGGCTGACGAAGCGTCGGAGAAGGCTGACGATACATCCAGGGAGCAGGTTAACAGAGATGAAGATCAGGCGTCGGAGAAAGCGGGTAATCGTAGTCCATTGGTAGAACCTTCTATAGTTGATGGAAAGAACTCACAACCATTGGATCGGGAGGAAAATAGCATCGATCGTGAAGGTGGGATTCGGATGGAAATAAGTGTTTCTTTTATCGATCAGTCACCTTCGACGGGGTTACGGCATAGAGATTCTAAACAGGACAGCGTATTGACAATTCCTCGAGCAACATAAGTCATACAACTCACGTTTCAGCATCGGACAGGGCTGGTTATGCGTCTAGCAAGATTGCACATGTGCGCACGTAGCGTTTTGCTGCTACGATGCCAGATATATACATGTTTAATCCAAATAGCTTATGTTTATTTAATTCTATTTTTTATACGCTGCTTGAGACATGTTCTTGAATGAGAATGATTCTTTTGATTTTTCTGTAACTATTCAAATAGATTTTATTCAAATGTTGGTGCGCTGAAACCATATTCTGTAATAGTGAACTGTTACATGTAGTACGGAAATGTCAGTAGAGTAGAAGAGCGTTCATTCTGGAATAGCTTTTGAGCTCTTTTCACAGTGGACTGATCAAGGGAGCTCAGGCAGCAGGTTCTCATATCTCCATATAGTTTTCTGAATACAGGAAGCTTCTGTAGGAATGGCAATGGCCCCGCCCAAACAGGAAGTTTTACGGATCGTAAAGTGTACGGATCGGAATCTCTACGTTGTAGATGAACATTCAAGTATTACGGAGCATTTTTTGGGATGATGTTTCGCAGACGAATCAGTTTATGTAACTTATATCACTTAGATAAATCCAACCTAAAATATCTAGAACGTTTTCTTTACTTGACAAATATAATGCACCTAAAACAAGAAGAGCGAAGTAAATGGAGAAAAATATCTTATCTAATGGAGACAAGTACAGTGTACAACTTTTCATGAACAGACTCTTCTCAGAATGCTTTGTTTGTGAGGCCTGAACAATTAAAAAAACTTTATAATATTTATCTGAAATGAAAAACATTCCTTTTCTCGAAAATGGCTTATTTTTTTGACTTTCATACTATATCCAGTCAATCAGTTAGGGAGCTCCAACAGGTTTTTACTATTAAACGCGCTGGCAAATAGTTTGTGAGACCGCAGAAGTAGAAACAAAGAACAAAAAGCTGAAATAGTTAAAAGTTTTGATAACATTCAACAACCATGAGTATGCGTTGATTAGTAAACTCAACCATGTTGACTATCACAAAAAAGGTAAAAAAAGCCTTAAAATAACGAACTTTTTTTATTATGTCATAACTAAAAGTTGTTTTATGGTTTTATGTAAGAAAAACTTCAAAGTAAATAATAAATAATATTTTTTTCAAGTATCAATATATCTAAGTTGCTATATGCTATTTATTGACCCCGAAACGACATATATTATCTTCATGATGTATTTTTCGTAACATATTAGATATCACAGTTAAATTCTTTAAAGATCTCCAGAGTCAGTCACCAAGCCATAAAGCATTAGTCAAATGAGCCAGGAAACGAAGAAACTTATACTTCGGTAAAAGCTACTCCATTTGATTCGCCATCAAAAATTACCTCTATCTTAAAATTTTTTCGTTTTCAGTCCTTTTCGTTCTGAAGTTATAAAATCTTTTCTGAAAAGAGGTCCCAAACTGAAAAAAATACACTAGTGCATGTGCTTATTCTTTTATTTCTATGCATGTTTGTTGACCAGATTACCACAGCTCAGGCTTCCCTCTGCATCCACTATCGTACGAAATATGCGGTATTGAGCACAGCCCATAGCCACGATAACGAACAGCATGGAAAATGACTGCATCAGAACTCATGTGTATCTCGTCAGATACACATTTGCATGATTCATCTGTTTTTATCATTACTCCCCTTTTATTCTTTCATTTTCTATCTTAGCCGCTCGACGAAAATCGTTCTAAAAAGAGTAGAATATTCCTTGTTAAATGAAAAATCTCATAAAAAATCTCACTTTCCAGCCCAAATCCTCATCGTCCTGATATTTCGTGGATAAACCTCTGATTTGACTTTGACGCCAAACGCATTAACCTAAGCAGAAGAGGCACCCTAAACAACTATTAGGAGACGAGATCGTTTTATTTAGTTCTTACTTTGAACGTTCCGTCAGCGAACCAATGTTTGCTACTCTTCAACACGGATAAAGTACGAGGGACGATAAGAGACAAAATCGGTCCCCTGATAAATAAGTCTTATGCTAAGTTTTTGTCGACGATTAATCTTTATCTATTTTAAATCTTAGAAATCCTTTTCAGCGTCCGTGGAAACATTTTCACAAAAGCTCTTCACTCGTTAAATGAACGGTACTGGAAGTATTTTCATTATTCCACCTTGTTTACCTAGAATAAATATCAGTTATTATATACCATTCGACGGAGAATTTCACAGGCTACAAAATGATATATAAGATAGTCAGAAGAAAACGTAACTCGCTAGTCTAAGATCCGAAATACTTGGTAACATCTCAGGAAACCGCTAGGTCAACGTCATTCATAGTTATACCATGCATTTATTTTCTCGTTAGCCAACTTTTTTATATACTGTCCGATAAAGAATTTCGCAGGCTACAAAATGAGCTAAAGCGCATTATTCTGAATCTTTTCCTTCGTAAAGAAATTGGACGAATACTTGCCAGATATCTCGAGTTTTGTGCTATAGTGGCACATGAAAATGATTATAGTTTCTCCTACCGACAGGAATTAGGCATAGTTTGTATCTAGAAAGATGTAGAATTCAAGGGCTACAGAACGAGACATAACGTACTCTTTCAAATTCTAAGTGTAGTGGACTTATAGAAAAAAAATGAAAAACAGTTTTCCGATTACTTTTGCTGATTTAAGTGACATGGACCTTTCTCAAACTAAATGCTGTTTGCTAAAACAGTGCTGTAGAGAGCTCAGAGGCATCTTGATATGCTCAGAAATCTCTTGATGTACACGATGAGACTGTTACATAAAAAGTATTACTCGAATTAGAATAATTAATCTTCTAGGGTTTGGGTTTTTCAGAGACCTGAGCTCGAGAAACTTTAGTGGAAAGTTTATTTGTCATAGAACACGACAAACTCACCTTTGCAATCTCGATTTTGACATCGGAAGGTTTGTTGGTTTTGTTCGTTCAATATATAGGTGAAACCCCAATGTACCACCATGGGTTTTCCGTCTCAGAGAAAAGTTTCTAAATATGTGGCATTTGAACTGTTCACGAGAGTAACTGTGAAAGTAGAATGCACTGGTCCTTTTCTGAAGTGTACTTATTTTTATGGCATCAGTGCGTCGTGGATAAACGAATTTTAGATAAAATTTGTGTTTTATCCAAACAGGTCAAGTTTATTATCAAAACGCGTTTTTTTTTATAGAAAATTAGGTGTTTAATTCCATTTGTTGTTTACCACATTCTGATAAAGTGTTTGAAGCATTCGTCTGCAGGATAAATACAATTATTTTATTTGTTTCATTTGTTCCTTTCACTTTCTGCGAAAATTGATTGTTGATGCGCCAAAAAACCGGAATAGGGCATTATGCGACGAATTTTCCTGCAGTGAATTGACTTAGCATCGTATTGCGAAGATTATCTCATTTTGTGAGTATTAGCTCTCTGTCTATTATTCCTTCAAATCTCGTGTTCACTCCTGATTGAGCCGAATAGCTTGTTTTCCTTTTAAACAAGGAAAGTCTGATTCAATGTCCGAACTAAACTGCGATAAGTAAAACCTTAAAAAATTAAGCTTAATCATCAAGTTTTCTATGATATTTGCAGATCTTTCGGATCCTGAACTCTTTCTAAGTGACTCGTTTCGATTTCCAAAACTTTTGCTTACTTCGCTTCAGTAACCAAATTCCAGCGTACGTATAGTTTGCATCAAAACCACTGCTTGTCGATTTTGGATTGACTCACGATGGCTAGTCATTATTGCTCGATAAATAGTTTTTTGTAAAACTCTGCGAGTGATTCACTAAAGTATTGGACAAATTCTGTTTTGGGCACGGAAATTAGCCGTTTTAGGCACGGTTTGTCACTTTCCGTGCCCAAAAAAATCTTTTGACTGTTTTGGGCACGGTTATTTATTTGGGAACGGTAATTAGCCGAAATGGGCACGGTTTGCCAATTTCCGTGCCCAAAAAAACCGTTCGTCTTATTTGGGCACGGTTTTCCTTTCTGAAACTCGGGAATGATGCACTCCATTCGCTTGTAAGGTGTGTGCCACAACGTCACACCAGAAACTGTATTACTAATTTCTTTAGATCTTGTAATCGTGAGGGATCTGACACTGTAATAGCCAAAATGCATCATGAGTCCCAATGCATGTTTGCAGACGTACTGTTTCAAGTTTTGTTTGCATGAACATATCATGGGCATTGAGACGAGTCTGGCAGCGTACGCCCAAGTGGAAAAAGTATCAAAACTTTGCCACGGCAACGTTTCCAGTTGTTGTAGCCAGAGATGAGCAGGAATATGCACCGGAGATGAGGAGGGAACCACATGTGTATGGCCATAGCAGTACAACAACCGACTTTTGTCCAAATTTTGAATCCATTTATGAGCATCTTTCTTGTGAGAATGGTTGACAGTGGGAAAGGTTAGAAAACCGCGTGTGGCTGATGCTTGTGACCATTCGACAAGCATTTGCTCAATCGTTACCAGAAATGCAGACAGGATCAGTTTGTTTCTGAATGTATAGTTCTGTTTTATCTTCCCGTTTAGGGATTCAAGACCGTTGTT